CAAATACATTGACTAAAGTCAATGAAAACCACAAGTATTCAGTACTGCTGAGAATCACAAGTGTTGAGTACTGCTGAAAACCAGGAATCTCTTTGTTAAAGATCCAAATAAAGATTTAGGAAACAGGTATAACTATATACAGCATGTTGCTTATTGCTTCAAATAAAATCATAAGAGAAAATGACATGAAATGGAACATTATTTTTGCCAAACACCATTTAGCAGAAAATCTCTGCTAAAATCCTGTTCTGAACAGGAAAATCCTGTTCTCCCTCCAAGTTTGGAGAGGAAAGAAAACAGGATCCTGTATAAGTCTTACTACTGAAAGCACTAGAGGCTTTCCCAGTTGTACATGACTGAGAAGGGAGTCTGAGACAGACAGATACTGGCAAGTCCAAGCTTGTTCTTCAGTAGCTGGTGTGTGAGTGAAAGCCATAACAACTTTCTGAGGCTGATGGGTCATTTCTCTATATAGAACACTTAAAGTCTTGAGTTTTATTGCAAGTGACAGAAATATATGACTAATCATTTAGGCTCCCTTGCTGTCTTTTGGAAGGCATTTTGCAGAGAAAAAAGCATGCTTTTTGAAGTCCTGGACACATAAAAGCAAATGTGGCAGAACACTTCTACTGACAAGCCAACAGGCACATAAATTTCTGGCTAGACTTTACTCAAATGAAATTTACTAAAACTTTCATGAAAGAATGCGAACTCTTTTTATCTTCTCATTCTTTCCTGCTCCAAATCTCTCCTGACCCACAAAATTGCCATACATTGTTATGTTAGGAAATCAGTTGTGCCAATTATTAGTCTCATGATATCCAGTCTTTCAGCTGCTAGAACTATGTGTTTACCTGAGAATCTTGTATTTCATTTAAAAAGTAAAATTCTGGTTCTGGCTCTCATCATTTTCTGTGAAAAGCTAGAAAATATGGACTGGAGACTCAAAAGACAGAAGAGAAATAAAAAAAATTAATAAATAAAATAAATGTATATTTTTAGCTATGAAGTTCCCACGAATTTGAATTCAATTTCTTTATTTTCTTAGTCCACATTCAAGGGGTTTTTGTGTGGCAGCAGAAATAAAAACAGGAGTAAGATACCCAGACCTCCCCCCTTACAGCTGAGCAACTTGTGTTCACTCTTTCCCCTTTCTACTATCGCTACACTTGGAAACTCACTTAATGTTGGTGTGGAATGGCCAGAAGTGTCACATAGGACTGCAGCAATGTTTGTGCCTGTCCTTCATAACTAAATATGAAAATGTTTGAGGCTGCAAGGAGCACTGAAAGCTGGTGGAATGAGTAACAAAATGACTCTGTAGCCCGGCTGCATGTTATGTTGCACAGAGAACACTGGGCTGACCAAGTATATCACATAGATGTCATAAAACTAAGAAATAGCAGACCTTACATAAGCTGGGTAATGACCTTAACTAATAATATTATAGTAATTCTAGTATCTAAATATATAATAATGATAGGAAAAAAATCAGCCATACATCATCATCATGGCTAGGCTTTGTGAACGAAGATTTGGGAAGGACTCTACCCACATTTGCTAAAAGCACACTGGTGGCTAAAAAGGCCAGTACGAGATAGACAAGTTCAGTTGCAAAAGGCACAGCGGAAATACTCCTCAGGTGGTATTGACAAGACATGATTCTTTCTGCGTTGCCTTTTCGCCTTGAGAGTGATCCTGCGTGCTTTCTCAAAAGCATCAGCAGCGTTATAGATGGTGTGTCTCCAGACCTCCCAATTGGAGGCCAGAGTAGACCAGTTCTGTTGATCAATATGGCCAAGGCTGAGATGTTGTTTCAGGGAGTCCTTGTATCTCCTCTTCAGGGCTCCTCTCTTGTGGCAGCCAGTGGCAAGTTCACCATAAAGCAGGATCTTAGGGAGGCGGTGGTCCTTCATCCTGGAGACGTGCCCTGCCCAACGCAGCTGTGTTCTCAGCAACATGGCCTCAATACTCGTAACTGCTGCTTGTTCAAGAACAGATGTATTAGTCACATAATCTGACCAGTGGATGTTTAGGATTGTATGGAGACAGCGTTGATGGAAGCGTTCTAAGAGTCACAGGTGGTGGCAGTAAATGACCCATGATTCAGATCCATATAAAAGAGTGGACAGCACAATGGCTCTGTAAACACTGATCTTGGTACTTTTCTTCAGTTGTTTATTTCACCAAACTCTTTTATGGAGTTTTCCAAAAGCTCTATATGCCTTTGCTAACCTGTTGTCTATCTCTCCGTCAATCTTACCATCCGAGGAGATGATGCTACCTAGGTAATTAAACTGCTGGATTGATTTGAGCTCTGAAGCCATACATACTCAGCAGGATTTAAACTTTGAATAAAAACAAGAAATAGCAAGGGATCAGTCTCCTTTCATTGCAGAAGAACATGGAATATATTGAGAAGTAACCTAGAGGAAGAAAGGAAGGGCTGCCCTGTGGTTGGTTCCAAAGAGTAGGGTCACTGTAGCTGGGTTCTACCCTAACACAGCCATTGACTTTCTGTGAAAACCTGGAAAAGTCATTAAATATCCATATATTTTATTTCCCTCATTTCTACAAGGTGATGATAACAATAACTACCCCAAAGGTTTAGTGGGGCTTACTTCAGTAATGTTTGTACAGCATGTACAGCTCTTGACTGGAGAGTACTATAGAAATGCTAAGTATTACTATTACACGGGACTATTAGAAAAAAAAGTAATGCAGTAGGAAATTCTTAAATAGAAACACCCAAATTAATATGAGATGATTTTTTTACAACAGAAAATCAAGAGGTCAAAATAATTTCCTACTTTCTGATTTTAACAATCACTCCTCCCCAAACATTGCTCCCATCTTGGGTCCCAACTGCATGTGAACTACATATTCAATTCATCCTCCAATTGTGAAATGAAAGAAAAGCACCTAAAAAAATGGAATAACTGTTTTTCCTAAGGCATAAGTTTAATATAAAGCATAACATTATGGAATGAAAATCAACAGCGTTGTTGAGTTTATTTTATTAAAAATGTTTCTCTGTGTACAGTGCCTGTGTGTATAATTGGAATGGTGCAGCACAGTAAATTTCCATTAAGAAACAATGATTCACTTAGTACGGTGAAGGCAGTAATACAGTTAAACTCTTAAGTTAAGTGGAAAGTTAAGTCAAACTAAACCCCAACAGGTTTTCTGCTAGGGGCATAGATAATGTTTTTGAAAATGTTCTAAATTTTCTTTCTCAAATATATGTATTATACATTGCAATATTCTTAATTATATCCATTTTCTCCTTTATACACTTCCCCAGGAGATTAGTGAAGAATGGAAAACTTACTTATAGTGGATTTCAGATTTAATGAGACGAAGATGGTTTAATATATATGACAAAGTGATATGCTCTCACCATATTTGATAGGTAATTATTTTTTATACTCTAATGGCTACCATTTTGAAAATAATTAATGTATTATTTGTGTAATTAATAGATAATCAACTGAGTATTAAAAGTCTCTGGTTACATGGTGGTGGGTGGTACTACCCTGTTTAACATCTCTAGAGCTCTTGGCATGTTGGCATGACATCACATCATATATGCATTAAAAGTTTTCCTTTGAGAGACCTGTGCACATTCAAAATACATAAGTAACATTGGTATGATATTTCTGTGTGTATATATATATATGTTTCTGTGTCATGTATATATATAAGAATGTATATTTTAAAAAAAGTTTTCCAGAACTTAGATTTTTAAATGCATAATTCTGCACTTAAATAAATGCCATAACTTTCCACAGGTATAAAAATGTTCAGCATTTCCTATGGAAAACATGCATCTATTGCTGTGAAGTTCTGCAGGTCTATCAACAGTCCTTCACAACCACTAGCTCTGAAGTTTGTTGATAGATGAAACAGAATCATCATGATTTTTTTTCCCCATTAGCAGAAGACGGCAACTCACTAAAAAAATGGTATTGATGTCACAAGAAAATTTAAAATTACATTCAAATGGACAAGCTCAGGAACCTGAAAACCATCAACTTCATCTATATCAACACAACCTTCTCCCAAATCATCATGATCGGAAAATTAGGAGTGAAGGAATGACTAAATGGGAAGATTGTAATTTTTCTCGTGTTGTTTTCTTGAATGCTTGTATTAAAAAAAAGTATGTTTAGAGGTGTTGGCAACATGCTCTTTGAGGTGCTGATTTAAGAAACTGTCCATCACCTAGAGAGTGCTGTTGCCCTAGACACCCTGGTGTACTACCGGAAGAGAAAAAACTCTTTACCTCCAAAGCTCAACAATGGTTTGTGATTTCTTTCTTATTCTTTGGTCAAAGATCACTTGCAGAGTAAAGTGACTTATAATGATAACTAAGGTGAGAGCTTATTTAGAAGCTATTTCAGGCTTAGGTTTAAGATGTGGCCTAGATTGATGCAAATCTCATGGTCTATATGTTTTTTCCACATATCTACGACCTTGAATGTTTTCTCATATATGCTAAATTTATCTCTCTGTAATTGTTACCTCAGATATGCTATTCTTGACTCATATGTGCAAAGAAACTGATGATCACACACCTTAATTAATTGATGTAGGGAGTGAAATTCAGAGTGAAGCTTTTTGTGACAAAACTCAGGGGTTTTTTTTGCCCCTCTCCATGTCAGAGGGGTTGGAACTAGATGATCTTTAGGGTTTCTTCCAACCCAAACAATTCCATGATTCTGTGATTTATAGTGAAGTAGAAGGAAAGAAAATTATTGCTTTTCTACTCATGAGGTAATTAGTGCCCTTTAAAATTCTCTTTTGCAAAATGTTTAAGAAGTAAATATTATAGCAAAGATTCAATAAAACAAATATGAATGAACACATAGTACATAAATGAAGGTGAAAATATATTATTGAATATGTACATGCATTGTAATATGTTGTGTATAAAATAAATATATTATCCTACCATAAAGAAGAGTTTCTCTACAAAAGGATGATAATTTTTTTATTACCTTAAAATATTGCAGTTGTTTCTCAGCATTCATTGTTCCTTCATTTTCTTGTCTCAGACAGGAATTGAAGATGAAAAGCTCTGTATCTCTCAGCCACCCTTTCAGCTCTTTGATCCTGACCTCCAGCTGCCTTACCAGGCTGCCACTTTCAGGCGAGAGCAGGTCACGTGGACCTAACCCACTGTGCCCTACCATTATGTCTTGGATCTTCTCTCCTAGGGTTTTCTAATGCATCAGATAAGGAAAACATAGATTAGTCATATGTACCAAAACATATACAGGTTAATGTGCAACAAGAAGCATCTGTTAGATGACCAGAAATGTGGGGTTTTAATAATTATTACTAATACCAATCAATTTCATTCTTAGTTTCCTTGTTTCATTCTATTTCATTTTTTTTGTACCCTTGTTTCTCACTTATGCTGTTCTCTCTGGGTCACTGACTTTGCTAGAAGGATTATAAATCAATGTTTATTAAGAGCAATTAAGGACAGAGGAGACAAAATGCTACATAACTTTGCAAACTAGTTACTCTACAGAATTTGTCCGTGGCTTTAGATGATTATGACCGTGAGAGTTACCAGTTTCCAGGCAGCAACAGAAACATGACAAGCACTGAGTTCACCAGACTCCTGCCCAAGGTACTGTCTAAATTTTTGGAGAAACAATGAAATATTTTTTGAGGTATGAACTGCCAGGTCATAATTTCCAAACATGTAGCCTTGGGGCTGCATGGAGGAGCAGTTAGGTCACAAAAGAGTTGGTTTGTTTTTAAAAGTGGATGAACTCATTCAAATGTCAATAAGCTAGAAATTGCAAATCTTCACTGTTCCTGAACATCAGGCCAATTATTTAGGCCACCAAATTTGAATCTCAGTTCTCTGTGTTAAGCATCCACTTTAAAAATAATGGACCAGAATAAGCATTCACCTCTGATTACTAATGAAATTAATTTACTACATCTTTTCAAAGTAGTATTTCTAATAAAAGAACCACTGAATAACATTTTGATAGTGGATGCTGTGAGCATAATGAATGTTCTGAAGAGGCCAGGGGTAGAAAGTTACCTTTCTTTTCAGTATTTTGAAAGGCAATCCTTTAACATCACAAGGGAGATATGCTGTTGCCTGCTTCTTCAGTGCTAAGACATATTTTATCTGACCTATAAGAGGCTGTCAGGCAGACACTTATTATGAGCACTAGATCTATGGTACTGATTGTTGAATATTGAATATACACTGACACTCACATCCAATAACCTTTTAAACTGATAATTATTGGTGGTTAATTGTTGTAACATGAAGATACAGTTTTAGGTGACCCAGTATGGCTGTCTGTTGAAAATATATGCTTTAGAAAGCTACCGCAATACAATTTATACCAATGAAGTTAGCTTCCAAAAAAAAGCTTTAAAACACAAATAAAATTAGAGCAACTGATATTAATCTACTCTGCGGCATTCTGTAAATAACGTCTGTAGGAGATCATAACTGAAAAATGTGCTTTCCTGGCAACACCCTTCTATTTTCATGGTGCAAATATTGATAATTTGAAGACCCTCAGTGGAATCCAGCACTAGCTATTGTTTTTATGCTGTAACAAAAGTAGCAGCAGGAGGTGAAATCAATGCCCTTGGAGGGTAGGGTCACAAAAAAGAATTTATTGCCACTTTTTTGTTCTGGAACAGTTTGCAATCATAAATTCTTCATAAACAGAATACTTCAGAGAATGGTCCGTCTTCATAAATATACGACAGAGGACATCAATTTCATTTAATTCACAATTTGTGTCAGCACAGCAGATGCCAATGCCTGCCTTGATAGGGTTGTTTAATATGCAATTGAGACAGAGTAATATTCAGCACAGGGGACAAAATTTCACAGATTAAACTGTACGCACCACTGACATTTCATTCTAATGTATTTCCATTCCACAGTGTTCACCTTAGATGAAAGTAATATTAAAAACCATATCCCTCTATTTTGCCATTGTTAGAAGTTAAAATCCTTGTCTTTAATTTTTTTCATGCCAATTAAAACGTAATCATGCCAATTAAAACAGTATGTCTAGTGTTGTTAGTTTCTGCAAAGGTTTTTATTAAATTAAACAAAACTCTATCAAACTCTACTTATTATTCATGAAACTGCATTTAACAGGAAAACTGTAACAGTTATATTTTATTTTTCTGTAAATGCTGAAATTAATGGCAAAAGTTAATCTGGAGGTATATACTGAGAAGCAAAGGGCTTCAAATTAGGGCTTCAATTTTTTTTTTTTAAGACAGAGTTTTTTTTAGACTTTTAGAATTATCATCAGTTACTTGTAGTTTTATATCCTACCAGCTCTAATCAGTGCCACTGAATTAAACTGATTAAATACATTGAAATTTATAAATGTAAGGCTTACATCTGAAATCATTTTAAAAATACAAGTTGTCATGATCAGATGTAAAAGATTAGGTTGGTAAGTCCTATTTTTATCAATAAATTTATTAAAGATCAAATAGGTTCAAAATGCTTATGGTGATGTTGCAGATTAAAAAGTAACAAGATCACTGATCATAAGGCAACTTTTAACATTTTCTGACAATTTGCACATTTAGAGAATCAAGCAATTAGAAGCAACTGTGCTGAACCAAAAAAGCCCCACCCTCTGAAACGGCTATTGCATTACTACATAAGCTGAAGTGACACAAGTCACTACTTAAAATGCTGTTGGCAGGTTGCGTATATAGTTTACTCTTAATATAATAGAAATATTTTTAAACTAGGATATAGCATGCACAATTATGCAATGTAACTGTATTGTTAATATCATACATCTATAATTAATCATTTAAATTAATTTATAAATTTACCTTACCCTTGATTTGAAGTGAAGGCAATTAAGGAGAGAAGTGGATGGAAAAATATATAGTTTGACCTCTCTCTCTCTCTCTTAGCTGTTTTACAACAATAGGACAATAGTGTCTCCTGCACAGTGCCATCATCAGTCTCTGGGTAACAGAATCCCTATATTGCTTTTTTTGCCAGATTCTTGTATCTTACTCTTTGGCTGAGACCCAGCCCATCATAGCATGAAATGAATTACACGAAACTTTTGTGGCTTTTGTCAAAAGTGAGCTGAATACAGCAGCATGAAACATATCCTGGCTGTATTCTCAGTTTCAGGTATGCAGATTTGTACTGAATCTGTATATTTGTTTTTGAGCCATCAGTGTGACCTGAAGTATGCAGTGACAGCCCCACTTTTCATCTTAAAGGTATAGTAAATAGTTAAACAGTAGATGTCTCTAACATGTACCTTCAGAATAAATTCTATTAACATTCACTCAAGCATGACAGTCAGTGTATATCAGATATACTGCATTATAGTTGACTTGGTGTATACCCGTAATACATGGCATATTTTACTTACATTTTTTATGTATTAAAGAACTAAAATTATTAAAGTCAGACAGGAGACAAGTATGGAATAAAAAAAAAATCAACAGAAGAGGAAAATACTATGGAGTTTTTATAATAGAATGAGTAGTTTGTTTGAAATGTTCGTGGTGGATTGAAAGAGAGACATATTTGTGCTTCAAATTAGAAATCAGACAGACAGTGTACTTCAACACACAAAAATGTACACATAACCCACAAACAGTAATAAAAATGCAAATACCCCAAGCAGTTCCCATTTTTCATTAATTGAATCCACTTTTTCAAGGAGATCATTTGGTAGTAAAACACCACTTTTCTTCAGAGCTTCAACCTTACTAAGCAGTTCCATCTTTTTCGGATGCCTGATTGACATTTCTACATTGTATCTCTAAAAGGAAAAGAAATATATAGTATTAGCTGCTGTAAAGAGTTTTCATTATAAAAAAATAAACTTCCATTGTATGTGTTCAGTTATGGTCATGCTTACTCTGACATTTTTTATTTTTTTTTTAATACACAACCTTCTCATGACATATCATAAGAGATTTAGGTACCAAGCACATAGACTTCTGCATCTACGCAGGCAGTTAGCAATTTATTACATATAGTAATATTCAGTCTCTCACAATATTCACTTGTACAATAATATTCACTAACACTCTCCCATCTGAATCTTGATCTACCTTTCTTCATTCAGGTTAGTGGGATCTTTTTTTTAAATATACTACAAGTAACAATGAGGCTCTCCATTCAAAACCAAACAAAACAAAATCCAAGGAAACAATTTCATAATTATATTTCCTCTACAGCTTATTTCTTCTCTCTTTCATTGTGGATTCTGCCTCATACATGGGCCTGAAATGCTAATACATATGAAAATGTAAGAGTTTCACCTTAGAAAAACAATTAGACATAGCTCCCTTAAAATACAATAACAGTAATTTGATTTTTATAGCATCAACCAACAGGAGCACTGAAATGGCCCACAAAAGAGAACAGCCACAATGTTAAAACAGTCAAATAGTTTCTTAAAGCTGAAACTACCTTTTATTTCCTGCACTGCCATTTATTGATAAAAAAAGAAAGAAAGGACAGAGAAAACAGATATAAGAGAAAGAAGAAAAAGAAAAACATGAAGCTTCTTTCAGAATTACTTTCACAGGACTTTCTAAATCTTTTAGCTGTATATTATATAGTATATACAAATGTATTCTAATCTACAGACATATTGGTAAATAAATATTTTTTAAAACTGTATTCCCCAGAAACTTGAATTAACTATTATATATAATATTTACTATAGTGGTTATATATGTTTTCATAGTTGGTAAAGTAAAAAAAAAAAACCAAAACATTAACATGCAGGCATCCATTCATATACATACCCTCCATTTAGTTAACCTAATTAAGTATAAAAACATTGATTGAAATAGAACTTCTGATATGGCCAAAAATATGTCTCTTACCGAGAGAGAAAAGTTCAGCACATATTCTTACAAAGGTGTTTACAAGACATACATAAATTATGCATAGCTATTAGCAAATTGCTTCCTAAACATTAAGCTTTCTTTGCTTTAAATTCAGCCAAGAAAACTGCTATGGCAGCTCATACTGAAAATGTTATTAACTGGGCTAAGTATAAAAAATTAAACAAGAATAAGGAATGTTTAAAACGTGGATGCCTTTGCTAGATCCGAGAACATGCTCTGTAGGAAAACAAAGCCAAAAGACAATTGGAGACAGCCTAAAGAAAATAATAAAGGTGTGAAATCGCTGTTTCAGCTAACAGGTTCTCAGTATTTCCATGCATATGTTTGCATATTGTTAGTTTCATATTTTAATCTCTCATTTACACAACACATGCACATCATTTGTATTATGTAAACTTCAGCAAATATTAGTCATTTGTGGATCATAGAGCAAATGTTTTAAATGAGGTGATTTAAACCATTTCTCATTATTAATGAACACTGATCAGGTGTCTGTGTATCCAAAATTGCATGAATATGCATGGTAAAAACCAAGGAATTGTTTACAAAGAGCTTGCCTTTTGACACTTGGTGTACTGTGGCTCAGGTTTGAGACATGTACAACAGTAGGCAATACCTACCAGGATGGGTGCTAGGGGTCTGGACCCACCAAGAGGCACCACCATTTTATTCAACTAATATGTTCAACAACCATGCTTCTTGGTCCTGTCTTATTGCCTTTTCGGCTTGAATGGTTATTGGAGGAGATTACAATCTTCTTTATGTAATCTGATTTCTATTTAAAGATGATATAGCTGAAAAGGATTTGCATAATTATTTCCATAAGTACATGTAATATCAAGGGGAATCCAGAGTCCGATTTGCTAGGCACTGAAATCCAGTTCATGTGACTCCCTTCCTTTTGTCAAGTGAATTAATAGACTGAGGGAGTCCTCTAGCTGTGTGTAACTGGTGCAGGCACAGCTAGTTACTGCTCTAGGCTGGCACTTGTCTGGGCTGGGGCTGGGGATGTTTCTAGGCATCTCAGGACTGATGAAGAAATAAAATACATTGCATGTTTCATAACTACAATGCTCTTGTTAACATAGAAACAGAAGACATTTCATTTAATTTTGGACTAAATAAAATAATTCAGTGCTGCATAATCCAAATAGTGTGACAGACATTATAAAGGTTATTACATTAAAAACTAAATAAGCTAGATTTTATGTATGTGCTGTTTTCGTCACTCTGTAACCTACTGTATAAACAAGCATGATTGAAAGTGCTGATTGATAGAAAATGCATTATACAGTAACAGTAAAAGATTAAATAATTCAGTTGATTATCAGATGTATTGGTATGTGACTGAGAGTCAGTATTGTTTCATTCACGGATATTTAACCTTCAGTGTGTATTTTAAGGGAAGAGCTTAATGTACAGGAGGTACAGCTTGATATAACACAAGATGTTATTGTTAATACTATTTTTTGATCCATTAAACACCTAGACTTTCAGCAGTTGCATGGAAAAATTAGCCACCAGCTCTATCAGTGCTGCACAACCCTAGTCTGGTAGGACTACTTAATCCTTTGGTGAGAAAATAATTTAATCTTCAGGTTGTTCCATTGTGACATTCTGTGGATGTTATGATACAGAATACTGTTTAATAGCCAAAAATGAGATTAAGAAAGTTAAGGTTGCAGGCTTCTCTCAATAGCCAAAATAATAAATAAATGAGTCATATTTAATTTCCCAAAATACCTGTCATATCATAAAACTGGGAAAAAACACAAACAACAACACGTTGGAAAAACTGCAAAATATTTTCATCATGATTAGCTGTGGGCATGCATGGCTGGTTTTGCGTTCCTGAAGCCACTCAAAAGAAATCCAAAACATTGTTACATAAGTTAAAGAATTTGGCTTTTTATTCCTTCTCACTCAATACAAGAAATATTTCTCAAAGGGCAAATAGTGGAATTTAAAAAACGGCAGTAGCGTTTATCTGGGAATAAGTCTGGCAGAAATATTTAAGCCACAAGAAGTTGAATTCCAAAACAAAGCTAGTTAAAACCTTTCTTCCCCTGATAAAAAAATTCTAAGAAATAATTCAGGCAGGCTTGATTGAGACACATTTTTTGACACTTTAACCTAAACTGGGCCTTTTTTTTTATTTTTTCTTTAAAAAATTATCTAAAACTTTTTTTGTGTGAAAAATCACAACCGAAAATTCTGCCCAAATGCAGACTGGAACAATGCCTTGTAACAGTGTTAATTGTCACCATGGAAACCAGAAGAATAAGCCATTTTGAAACTGGTATAGAAGGCACACATTGAGCAACTCAAGCATTTTTCAGCCTCCCTCAGTGTTAAGGAACAAGATGCCTAGTCACTGAGAGGTCAGAGAAAGAAATCATCATGAAAGGGTCGTAGATGTGCACTGTCTGGTAAACAATAAAAAAGTCTGTACACAGTTAACAACTCTATAAGACTGCGCACTGCATCTTTCAGAAGGAGAAACACCACAAAAAGGTGATCAGGACTGGGGTGCAGATTCCACCCCTCAAGCAAAACTTTAGGGCAATAATACGCGAACCTTGCCCCTAAAGCTCCCTGGGAATTCTGTTGTTGTAATAAAACTTCAGAAGAGGAAAGGAAGAAAAAAGCCTGCATGATGGAATTCAAAATAATGCTCTAAAAGCACACAGAGAGATTAAGACATCCATTGTAAGACTTTTGTATGGTGCTTCTGTTGGTTATAGTGAAAAGAGACCAGACATACTGAACACACAGTGGAGCTATGGCTACGAAGTACAGAAGAATTAAGCCGGTGAACTTTCTCCATTACTGGAATAGGGATGTGCTATTTGTAGATGTTCTGCATTCCATCATTCACTACTAACAAAGTATCTTCAGTCAAATGGCACTGTAGGATATACAACTGAGATCAGGACTGAGTGACCTGCAATTTTAGTTTTACCTGCATTCAATCTTTAAACTTTAAAAATTTGCCTTTTGGGATGTTTTGACTGCTGCAGACACCAATAAATACAGATACATATCCTTGGTGTCTGCGTGTGCATGCACAGTCAGCATTGCCACACATTTGCAAAATATACTGCATGCATAAAATTCAGTAAAGAATACTCTGCAAGCAAATTCACCAAATATGTAATAAAAATATACACAAACATTTATATATATGCACATATAGCAATATTTGTCCATCATCTCTTCGCACACATTCTCTTTGCTTTCTGGATAATGTTTGCACTCTTCGTGCTAGGCTTCATGGTGGCCCCTTAGGAAGCCCATGCCTAATGCCATTCAGTGATGAACAAAGAGTCTTTTTATTCCAAAGTCCAGGGTCCAAAGCTCAGCTGTATACAGGCAAAGTGAAGGAATCTGCTAGAGGCCAGCCTACCCTTCACAATAGCCCTTAATGCTTCTACCTTTTTGATATTGTCAATGTGAAACATTTTAGAAACTGTCCAGAAGTTTGGTTATATTTCTTATGCCATCAATAGCACTAGAACCTCTGGACAACATTCAAGATCTGGGCTGAGCAATCTGTCTAGATGAATAGCAGTTGCTGTTTCTTGCAAACTTCATGTATTTCACCATTAGCAATTTATGGCAAATAATTGCACAGAGAAATTATAAAGACTCCTACAATTGTCCTTGTAAATTAATAATAGGCTTTCTTGATTGGGATAAATTTGCTGCTGAGCCTTTGGAAAAATTAAAAAGTGCAATGTCATTTAAAATTGCCAGAACTCACAGAGCAAATTACATCTGAGGTTAAGAATCAGCTTTTCCTCTTCTAGTTTATTCCATTTGCATGATCTGGAAATCATATTACATTGGCTATGTATTGTTAATTGGACATAGATTGCATTATCTTTGATATAAATCA